CGACAAATTGACCACAGAATCACCTTCTTCTATCAAAATTTCCATCAACTCCTCAGTGCACTCTTCAACCCAAAAAGTCTATACTGCAGACTACTACCTTTGTACATATTAGCCTCCCTCGGCACCACAAAACCTTAAATTTCTTGACGAAATTTTATGGAGCCTTACAGGATAGTTCAGATTCTAGAGGATATGCTCATAGCATGTATGATTGACTTCAGAGGGCAGTGGGATCGATTCTTACCATTGGCTGAGTTTGCTTATAACAACAGTTATCAGTCTAACATCGAGATGGCTCCATTTGAGGCCTTGTATGGTTGACGATGTCGTTCCCCCATCTGTTGGTTTAAGCTCGGCGAGGTTATGTTATATGGTATTGATTTGGTAAAGGATGCCTTAGATAAGGTAAAGTTGATTTAAGAGCAACTTCACATAGCACAATCTAGGAAAAAGAGCTATGCGGATCAGAAAATGAGTTATTTGTCATTTATGGTGGGCAAGAAGGTACTTTTGAAAGTCTAGACAATGAAGGGTATCATGAGGTTTGGAATGATGTTCAAGTTGAGTTCGAGGTTCATCGGTCCATTCGAGGTATTGGAGTGAGTTGGTGAGATTGCATACAGGCTTGCTTTGCCTCCTAATCTGTCGGAGCATCTAGTATTCCATGTGTCTATTCTCTAGAGGTACCATGCCGATAGGTCCCATGTATTGGATTATAATACAGTTCAGCTAGATGAGAGCTAAGGTTATAAGGAGGAGCTAGTTGTCATTGTTGACAGGCAGGTTTTAAGTTGAGGTCCAAGAAGATTGCAGCGGTAAAGGTCTAGTGGATGGGTCAACCAATCGAGGAGGTGACTTGAGAGACCAAGGAGGATATGTAGAGCATATATCCATAATTATTCGACATTTCAGGTATGATTCTAAACTCGTTCGAGGATGAGTGTTTGTTTAAGAGGTGGAGAATGTAACAACCTAACCGATCATTTTGCTTTATAGATCCTTGTTACCCTATTTAAGACTTTTCGTATGTACTTTTCCTATTTTATGTCTTGCGGGGACGGTTGGTTTGGTTTTGGTAGGTCTCGGGTAGAATTCGGAACACTTAATTCCATTATAATGGCCTAAGGTGGCCAGGTTTGATTTGAGTCAACACTTTGACTAAATGATCTCAGAATAGGGATTTGAAGGTTCCGATTGGTCTGTTTGGTAATTTTTGACTTTGGTGTATGCACGGATCGAGTTTCAGGTGGTTTGGGAGTGTTTCGGCATTTATTATTGGAAGTTGGAATATTGAAGGTTTTAGAGTTTTCTAAGTTTAATTTGAAGTAGACTTTGGTTTTGTCAATGTTCGTTTGGGATTTTAAGCCTTGAACTAGGTTCATATAGTGATTGGCGACTTGTGTGTAAAATTTGGCATCATTCCGAGTTGTCTAAGTATGATTCGTCGCGTTCGGAGTTAGTTGGGAAAAGTTTGAAGTTTAGAAGTTGATTAATTTGGTTTTGAGGTTGTTGCGACCAAAACACTCACGCAAGTGTACGCGATCGACAAGTAATATAGTAGTAAGTAAAGTATCGTTTCCACGAGGAATTATAATCAACTTCTTGACCGATATTAACTCAAATAATTATCAATTTATGCTATATTATTACAAAATATTTAAAGAACCAATTTACAACTTACTTAATAATTGCACAATAATTCAACACAAAATTACTACACCAATTTCACAATATGTTTATAATAATTTGGATAAATATATTCCCGGGTCATGGACTTGCTAGAAATTATGCTACTATTTTAGCTTAAAATGGATTTATTGAATTATCCGGGTTATTGATTATAGGGTTAATAATATTCATAAGAATCTTTCGAGTTCTTATGCATCTATTCAAGTTAAACTAATACCTATATGT